ATTAAACATTAACATTTTTGAGGATGCCTAGAGACCAGACACTTGAGTTACATAATCCAGGAGGTATGCTGGGTATTTATATATACTGCTCTTCAACCTCAGAGCATCTCACAACACATGCCAGCTCCCCGCAGCCTGCAGGGCGGGTAACAACCTTATTTCCATTTCGCTCAGGAGGAGCAAAGCCCATTGGCTCAAGGTCATACTGGTGCAGCCTTTACAGCATGGTAGCGGGGTCAGCCTGCTCCTGCAGCTCCTGCAGCTCCTGCAGCTCCTGCAGCTCCTGCAGCTCCTGCAGCTCCTGCAGCTCCTGCAGCTCCTGCAGCTCCTGCAGCTCCTGCAGCTCCTGCAGCCTTGTGCCAGCCACGATTCATCCTCCCTGTGCTCACCGACCTGCACTGCAGAGCCAGAGGAGCAGAGGTGACACAGAAAAAGAGCAGGGTCTCACAGCAGGTACAGAGCAAAGGAAAACCGCTCCTCTGAATCACAACAAACTGTTACACTGGCTCAGCTATTTCCTGAAATCTCACCCATCGGAATGTGGCAAAACAGAAATAGTTCCCTCCCTGTTTCCCACCTCAAATCCTGGGATGCTGCCTTTTTCTGTCTCTTGTGAAATGTAAACCTTCTGGTTTTAATTACCTGATTGTGTTGTTTTATGGACAAGACTCAGGCACTCTTCTGTAGTGTAAACTGCAAGGAAATCCTAACACCCATGTTCTTCCAACTCCTTTTCCCTTGAAGCACTTCTCATTTTAAGGTACGCTGCAATGGCATCGAGAGGCCTTGTTACAGCACCAAAAGGAGCTGCCTGCACATTCCTGACAGGCAGCCCTGTCCCAGTGGGCTCACACACAAGGCATCCCTCGGCCCCAGCCTGGCACACGTGGTCTCTTTACACACACAGACCCCAAAACCAGTGACATCATTCACACAAACCAGATACATGCTTAGGTGTAATTCCTTGTCAGTGACAAGTCCACTGCAGAGCTCAAACCAGGGACAAGAACGTGGAATACGTGGAACATCCCAGAGTCTGCTCTTGAAGAAAAATTAAAGACTTGTCTATGCAAGGGGAAAAGTGCTTCACATTCACACCCTGCCCCATCCTGCAATAACTCCCTGATGTAGACAAGATCCTACATGCTTTTACCAAAAATATGAAATACCTGGCAAGCCCATATTTATTAAAATTTTACAGTTGTCCTGTTGTTTTCGGTAATTAAACAGCCAAGCACCAGTAAAGCCTCTAACTCAGATGCCAGAAAGCATTCCTGCCACAGGCAAGAGTCCAAAAAAAAATTAAATTTAAATCCTCACAACCAGAATTTAACTAGTAGTGAAATACAAACCTGTATCCTTCAAAAAAAAAGTAATTATTCATTAAAATCTTAGGACTGTGCAAATCTTTATGAGTTTGCCAAGATAGTGTATTCTGCCTCCCCTTAACCTATCCCTGGGCTGCTCTGCAAGCCCACTGTACATCAAATGAGTCGAGTTCACTGATTTGGGAAGAGATGCAACACCAACAAGAACTCACTCAGCTCAAAATCCTGTGAACAGAAGAAAAACTGTAAAGAAACAAAATTAAATTTTTCACTTGGGGAAGGCTGAGAACTGTAGAAAGGAGACTCAAGCAAGGTTCACTAAGGAGGAAAGCATCTGTTTTTCCTATTAGGAGACATGATGAAAATAGGAAGAAAATAATCTTGTTTCTCCCAGACTGAGGGACAGTGTGAGATTCCTCAGGTGCCAGGCAGGCAATGCATGGAACACTGCTAACAAAAGGAGCTTTCTCTGGAAGCCCTAGTCCCCAGTGAGACCCAAGGCAGCTCTGGTGGCACACACTGCACGGGGGGTGCCAGAGCCTTGGGGGAACCCCCTCTGCACAGGCACGGGGGAGCAAAAAGCAAGGAGAGGAACAAGTCCTCTCTAACAAACCATTCCACATATTCCTCCGGTGCAGACTTTTACACAGCTTTGAACTCCAGCACAACAAAATCACTTTGCAACATTTTTAGTCAGGAAAAAACCAACATTAGTTTGTTCTTTTTTCCTCAAACTTCCAAAGCATGCCTGGTTCCTCTGAGTGAGTGTAAAACATTCATAAAGTGCTCTGTCAATCACTGCTGACTTACTGCAAACTCACAGAAGACATGTGGTGAGGAGCCACAGTGGCACAAAGAATGGCTTAGACAGAGAATCAACAAAAACATACACACCAGCTCTGTATTCCCAGAGTTTGGAATATACCAATGAATTCTGAAACTGCACATTAGGTTGGTACATGATGCTAGGAGGCACAATATTCCTACACTCCATCCTACCTTTGCCAAGCACAATTTATCTGAGGGTAAAGCAAAGTTTACCCCTGATGTGTTGTCACATTGTCTCTTGAACTTTTTGAAGTAATTCTTGCATGAACACAAAGATTCTGTATCAGTAGTTGGGAAGTGCTGATAATTTTACTGTACCAGGTCTACATTTTATGGTAGTAATAGTTCTCTTTTCTTCAAACTTTCAATTGCTGGCAAATTTTGTAGAATAATCCACGAACTTGGTCGTTTCTAATACGAAAAAATCCCTTTGTGATCTCAGTGGGAATTTAGCCCAGTGTAAAACAGACCTTGAAGCATATTAACTAAATAATCAACTCAACTCAAATGCATTTCTGGTGTAAAACACAAAAACAGTCTCCCTCCAAAACTCACATTAAGAATATTTTGTGTTTTGTCATTCTTGTTCAAAAATAATAACAAAAAACAAGCAACAAAACCCCCCACACAACACAGAAAAAAGAAGAAAAACAAGCCCAAATCAAACCCAACCATCAAACCCACACATTAAACTCTCTATCAACTTCCATCTCATTTAAGTTTCAAAAAGCAAAGGCTGTATTTTGCTATTTACTCTTAGTTGATATTGTTCAAATACTAACTTGTTGAAGTATGGTCAGAAATATAGAAAGGACATCTGCTAAGGAAGAAATGGATAAGTTTCACTGTAAATGACTGAAAGGAGAAAAGCACAATCTTATACTACTCAGATTTTGTGACCAACCCAGAGCTCCCCAGGCCTGACTCCAGTGTGGATCTGCAGAGTTCACATTCACACAAGCACACACATCAAAAACCTCCTGTCAGGGCGTTTCCTGTGTGCTAACAAGTTCCAGCTTCTCTCTTGCTGGAGCTAAATTTAACTAAGACTAAGATCCAGTCTTCAAAAAAAAAAAAAAGCCGAAACAAAAATACAACAAACCAAAAAACCCCACTAACAAACAGAAACAACACAAAAAGCCAATCCACACCACATACACAACTTCAGTGCAGTGCAACAAACATTTTACAGGCACTTTGGTTTGAAAGCTGTTAATTATCAAATATATGAAATATGCAGCAAGCAAGCAGCCACCCCTCACCCTCTCACCCTACACATTTCTGAACCTGCACTTGATGTGCTCCGAGGCACAGGGGACATCAGATCCCACTAATTCCATGGGGTGTGTGACAGCCAGTGACTCCCAGGGCAGGCGGAGGTCCCAGCCCAGCACGGTGCCTGGCTGTGGAAGGAGCCCTCCCCACAGCAGCAGGATGCACTAAAGGGCTCTGGACTAAACTGCAGGCTTTGCTGTAACGTGCTAATTCCTGAAGATTTTAATTACAGATCTGTCTGAGCTACACGGGGCATACGCGGGTGGAAGGGTAAGAAACAGCTCGGAGTGGAGGAGGTTCAGTGTTCAGCCTCCTGCCCACAGCACTGAGACCCCCCATCCACACCCCACTGCCACCCCAGGACCCCTCCAGAGCTGCCCTCGGGGTGTCCCTGCGCACCCCACACAGCCTCAACACCTCCGTGCCAGGTGGGACACGTGCCACTGCCACCCTGCCCTGCCACCCTGTCACCCTGCCCTGCCACCCTGCCACCCTGCCCTGCCACCCTGCCACCCTGCCCTGCCACCCTGCACTGCCACCCTGTCACCCTGCACTGCCACCCTGCACTGCCACTCTGTCACCCTGCACTGCCACCCTGCCCTGCCACCCTGTCACCCTGCACTGCCACCCTGCCCTGCCACCCTGTCCTGTCACCCTGCACTGCCACCCTGTCCTGTCACCCTGCACTGCCACCCTGCACTGCCACCCTGTCACCCTGTCCTGCCACTCTGCCCTGCCACCCTGCACATCCTCTGCCACGCCTAATTCTTACAGGGCTGGGACATGATGCATCTTTTCTTAAAAATATAAAGGTGTTAAATTTGAGTAACACTTGGATCACTTATCAGGGGGAAATTCTGCTGCAGAGTGAAATGAGACTGTGAACAATTCTAACGTAGGCTATGGAATTTTGTTCTCTTCTAACACCACCCCTTACTATAGAAATCTAAAACATGAAGGAAATCCACATTTATTGATAATTCACAAGCTGTAACTTTAAAGCATCACCATGAATTAAAGCCAGCTGATAAAAAACACCCAGAGAGATTCAAAATACGGATCTGTAGCTTTGTATATAGTTACAGTATTGAAGATCACTAGAACTCTAAGTTGCACGCAGTTTTCCAATTTCATACACATCTAGGTACAGCTGAATTCCCCAAGGCTCACAAGGAAGAACTGGACTTCAAGATCATCCCTGTTACCAAAATTATTTTGGCCATTTGGACTGCAGAAGTGCCTGAGAAGTGCTTCACAACAAGTGCCTCACCAAGTCAGTCACCTCACAGACGTTGTAAACCCCTAATCCCTGCACCAGCTCACACAGAGTATTTACAGAAGAAGGTCAAATGGGCAATAATTCATTGAGCATTGCCACCAACTTCAACAGCATCGAGATCCTAAGAACAGCTCTGGATTTGAGCACAGACGTTTGGCTGTGCAAAGCCACTGCCGGCATTGAACTGAGCCCTGTGTGAGGCCCAGCGAGGTTCCCGGGCTAAGGCATCGCACGGCCGAGAGGCTGAGAGCAAACTGCCCCTGCACAGCTGAGAGCAAACTACCCCTGCACAGCCGAGAGCAAACTGCCCCTGCACGGCCGAGAGCAAACTGCCCCTGCACGGCCCAGAGGTGAGAGCAAACTGCCCCTGCACGGCCGAGAGCAAACTGCCCCTGCACGGCCCAGAGGCTGAGAGCAAACTGCCCCTGCACAGCCCAGAGGCTGAGAGCAAACTGCCCCTGCACGGCTGAGAGCAAACCGCTCCCTGCCGACACCACGGACACCACAGCACCCAGGCACACGTGCGGGGCCAAGCCGACCGACGCACACAGCTCGTCCTGCCTTCACACTGGCACCCGCAGCAGAAATCAGTACTGCAGATGAGAAAATACATTAAATACCAGACTGGTGATGGCACTACCTCAGGAAACCAACCTCATTTCCCAGCAACTGTTCCCTGTCACGCAGTGGAGAAATAACTCCCAGGCACCGTTTGTTTCCTGGCCCTCTACTTCCAGACTCTCATGCGCATCCCTCAGGCACAGGAGTGTCTCTGGACACTACGCAAGGAGGCCGAGCACTGAAGCAAAGACAGCGCAGAGCTGAGTATTCTAGTGCCAAATTACCTTTATAGATTAAGCCTATATCTTAGCAAGCCTCCTCTGGGTGAGGGGGGAAACAAAACCAGAATTCCTGAGAATTCTGGCAAGAGAAACAGGATTTGTCAAAGTTAGTCATTCCATGAACATGAACTAGAACACCTGTACTTCAGGAAGCAGGAGCAACAACAATGGATGAAAACGAAGTCTATATAGTAATGCATCACCTATACAACCAGAAATCTGAAATGCTACACTGGACAACCCTCTGAAGGTTCATCAAACTGAAAGACAGGGAGGAGTAGCAAGAGAACATCCTTCATCCCAGTGAGCAGGAAAGGAACACTGCAGGAGTCTCTGACAGGTATGTGGAGAGCCCAAATGTAGCATAGAGAGCATCCTGGGTGCTCTGACAGTTTTATACTTAGATAAATAATCTAGTCAGGTAAGCCTGCTGAAATAGCCTTACAGAACTTCCTAAGTACAAGGAATACTGAAGGATTTTAGCCATGCTAAAAAAATGGATTTTAAAAGAAGGTAGTAAGAGACAGCAGAGGAAGCAGACACATTAGTATTAGGCTGCACAATAGATATTCTGCCTTAATGAGCAGCTGATCTCTTTATTTTCTTCCCTGCAGGACAAGATCAGAGAGTTTAAGGCTTCACCAAAACAAACTTTTTTTTTAAACAAGGCACTTTTCAAACTAAAGGTAAACACAAAACCAAATGCAGTGAGGATCGTGGGCTGTTCCAGCAACTGCTTCTAGTGTTACACTATGCCTTCAAGTCAGAAGTCAGTTTTCTAACACTGGTGCTTCCTATACACAAATATATTGTTAAAAAATAAGACCTTACACATTTGTTAGGCCATGTGCTGTTTTGGTTTTTTTTCATGGTCACAGCTTTGTGAAAAATAAACTCTCCAACTTTGACTTCAAGTCTTGGGAGCTGAAAGCAAACCAAAAGACATGAACTAACCCAGTTTTCTCCAACCTTACCCACACATAAAACCCAAAGCTGACCTTTCTCTGTTTTTCTGGAAAACATAAAGATCTAGCTTCTGATAAAGCATGAAATACCACTTTTTAGTCAAAACAGCATCTCTACAGATAAAATTTAATTTTAAAACCATAAATTTCAATTTACGGACGTTTATGAATGTCATTACAAATAACCAAGAGATTGGGCTGATGTTCTTACACACACAAGGGTTTTAACGATTTGCTGAATAATCTTTCATCTTCAAAGAAAAGTTTAATCTTGACGAGAGTAACAAGTTCAGCTAAAGAAAAAAGAACACTTCTACTAAGACTGCTTAGCTGCCTGCAGATGTATACACCAAGATCACAAAGTTGCCATGGCATCAACTTCAGGACTGCGGTTAGACATACAAAATGTCTTTTTCCTACAGACCATTATGGGAAGCTGAGTGACTTTGGCCATGAACCAAATATATTTTGGCTCTAAAGTGGACATAATTCATCCCCATTTGGGCATTCCAATGGTTAGCTCCACTGAGAAAGCAAGGCAACCAGCACTTTAGAGCATCCATGTGAATGAAGCTCTAAATACATCGCTCTAGCAGTGGCAAAGAGAAACTCCATTTGTGCTTACCTTGCTCCCTATCATTACATAATAATATAATACTATTTTCTCCAGCACTTAACCAACAGATTAGAACAAACGGGAAAGGTTCATTTTTGGCTACTGTATATCAAACTACAGAGTGAGGAAATTTTCTAGGATCTAAGGTAGCACATTTATTTCTCTTATTCCCTGATATTTTCAATTGTATAAGCATAAGTCTATTTTTAAACAACAGCTATCAAAAATACGAGCTAAAATAAGACTTCTGCAGGTACTGAAAAACTCTGAAGTAGCCTGGATAAGTAAAACACTTAACATAGTCTGAACCAGTGAACCTCTTGCAAAATGTTTTTCCACGCAGCAGGCACAGAGGCCCAAAGCAAACCTCCCACATCCCCAGCTGTTGGCTTCCTCAGAAAGCACCATGTGAGGCAGAGCAGGGAGTGCTGTTGCCACCCTGCCCAGGCAGGGGCACGGCCAGAGAGCTGGGGCAGGGGACCCGTCACTGTCACAGAGCACTGTCACACCCCTTCTTCCCCCGAGGCTCATCCTCGCATTAAGAGGTCTCCAGTCACATTCTACTTCTGAAAACAGTAATTTAGGACCCAGTTCACTATCCAACAAACACACATCATGAGGCAATGGCAAACAAGTACTTGAGAAATCAGAAAGCTTTAGAAAGTATGTTATAAAATACCCCATTACTATACATTATCAGTAACTCACATATTAAAAACAAATCAAGTTATCATTTTATTCTTGAGATCACAGCAGGAACACTGACGACCTCGAGGGCAGGACCTTGTGTTTCAGCCGCCGAAACCGGCCCGTCCCCACAGAGCCGCTCATGTCCCGGTGCCCCGAACCCCCAGGCCCTGCCCGCGGCGTGCGCCCTGCTCTCAGCGGGCTCCTCCTCACCTTCTACCATCAATCACAACCACTGGTCACCAAGGAACCAAGTTTTCCCGAAAGCAGCATACTTCTTCTTTTCCCCCGAATCTCTTACCACCGAAAGCACGAAGCCCGCCCCGGTCCCAGGACCGCGCCGGGCGGGCCGGGGAGGCGGAAATCGCGGCCGTGCCGACCGCGGGCCCCGCCCCGGCCCCCGCCCGCACACGCTCCCCCGGCACCAAGTTTCACCGCCGGCCCCGCGCCCGCCGGCCAGGCCGGAGGCAGGGAGGGAGAGGGCAGGGAGGGAGAGGGCAGGGAGGTCTCACCAGCGGCGGGCCCGGCCCCTCGCCCCGGGCTCCGCGGCGCGGCCCAGCCCGGGCTGCTCGGGCTCCTCCGGGCTGGGCAAGCGCGGCGGCGGGATGAGCTCACGGGAGGGGCGGCGGCAGCGCCCGCCCCCGGCGGGACGGGCCGGGGCGGAGCGGGAGCGCTGAGGGAGGGGACGGCACAGCAGGGCAGGACAGGGCAGGGCAGTGCCCGCCCGGCCCCAGAGCCGCGCTGAGGGGCCGCTCCGCAAACACCGACCCCAGAGCCCCGCAGAGCCGGCCAGGCCCGCGAGCCGTGTGTGCTCGGACACCCCACACCGTGAGCTCTGCCCGGACACCCCACACCGTGAGCTCTGCCCGGCTGCGCTGCCCGGACACCCCACACACCCCACACCGTGAGCTCTGCCCGGACACCCCACACACCCCACACCGTGAGCTCTGCCCGGACACCCCACACACCCCCCACCGTGACACACCCCACAACACCGGCTGGAGCTCTGCCCGGACACCCCACACACCCCACACCGTGAGCTCTGCCCGGACACCCCACACACCCCACACCGTGAGCTCTGCCCGGACACCCCACACACCCCACACCGTGAGCTCTGCCCGGCTGCGCTGCCCGGACACCCCACACACCCCACACCGTGAGCTCTGCCCGGCTGCGCTGCCCGGACACCCCACACGTGTTGAGGTGGCGTTACCTCAATACAGCAGTGAACACGGTTCCAGTCTATCCATCCATATTTTCCAAGATAGCGAAAAACGAGAGGGTGCAGAAGAGAACCACAAAACTGATCTGAAGGCTGAAGGTGATGCCAGGCAGCAAGAGTGTTAAAATATTTAGTTCCTCAAAGAGACAGCACGGAAGGCAGCTTATGAAAAAGAGAACAAGGTACTGGTATATCACATCAGTGGGGTTGGCATTAGAGAGCCAGGTGGTTTTAAGTATTAACACACAGGTTTAGCAGTGGTGGTTTCCATAGCATTGTTATGAGCACAACAGTCAATATCAGCACACTCATCTGATGTGTTTGTCTCTCTCACCTCAAGTGTCAGATACTCCAGCTCTTCCCTACACAGAGGCCAAAGCCCTCAGCTTCGCTACATGCAATCTCTACAATATAATTGCACATGATTAAATACAAAAATGAATCCTCCTTACACCCAAAAAGGAAATGTAGAGACAATCCAAAATACATTTATAAATAACAGTAAGGGTTTGCCATGCAAACTGATTTTCATATGCAATTCATAATGAAAAACTAAATCTGAATTTAACTGCAAAATAATTATTACAGTGCCAGAGTATTCTAGAACATTTTCTACCCTATGGGAGCGTTTCACAGAGTGTCTTCCAATGTGTCTATAAGGGGCACAAAAGAGAATCCATGTGTATGTTCAGAAAAAAGTGGCAGGCTGACACACAAGCAGCACAGTCTCTGGAGAACATTGGCCATGACTGCCTTGTTTGGTGTCAGAGCAGAAGAACTGGAGACAAAGCTCTCAGGGTGACAACAGCTGGGCCATTAGTGATCTTACATTTCTTTCACTGCCCCTTTCAGCAGCTCTGCAGCCGAAGGCTGGTCCCAAAACAAGGGGAGGGTGCTGTGTGCACCTCAGCCAGCAGCACACAGTGTCTTTCCTCCAACGGACAACCCTCTTAATCACATTCCCTTCCCTCCATTTTGCCAGTGTGCTGAGGCCTGTGTCTGGAAAGAAAGGAATTTTCTCTCTCCCAGAGGAAATGTCTTAGTTCTGGCAGCCTTTTATGATTTTGTGTGTCTCTGAAATCCGAGACAAGAAACTGAGCTATGATTTCTATTGTGGGGTCTATTCCTCAGGTCCAGTGCTGGCTCTCTCTTCCTCTAGATGTGAACCCAGAAGTTTTGAAATAGTATTTATAGTCAATTGGATTTAGGTCCTGCTGTTTCACAGGAAAGCTGAGAATCAAAGTATTTTTAACTAGGGCTTGATTTTAGTGCTTCTCTATTTCTCTTAATAGAGCAATGCTTTTGACACCAGCAAATAAAGGTTTTTGCTCTCATCAGTAGCTTCCTTTTGGGAAGAAGGTAAGGCCACAGCTGTTGTTCTACTTTTTCTGCCCTCTGCTCCTTCCACTCATTTGTTCACATGATTTATCCATTCCTAGCCACTGAAATTCTTCAGTTCTTCCTCCTTCTTTCTTCTCACAAAGGTTATGGCTGTGCTCAGCCACACACTTATCATGCAAGCTTCTAGTAGCCATTTTTTTTTTTTTAAACAGGAATCAGACCACACAAATATAATGGCAGCAGTGTTCACTGTAATGCTGGGGGATGGAGAAATTAGAAATCAGACTGCTCCCTTTTTCGGCTCAGCTTCAGTGTTGTTTATGTTAGTTCAGGTTTCTCATGTTAGCCTACTATTCCAATTCTTGGGTTTGGAGGGCTCCTTCAAAGAAGGTAATTTTGTAAATTTTAGAGGCTTCCTTTCAATGCAGCTGCTTTATCCTATCAGATTCATTCTCATGCAACATGAGAATTTTCTAGCAAATTATTAATTTACTGGTTTTTAAGGTAGTAGAATCAACACCACCTTATATTCAAGAGCTTTGTGACCGTCAGATTTGCAGTGTCTAAGAAAGTCTAAGTTCTGACACAGGTTTTTGGTCTGTTAAACTACATTCATAATGTCTCTCCAGGCTGCAGTTCCCTAATGCCTCAGCCTGTGACACCCCCCAGCAGGTGTGCACACAGGGATTCAGCTCGGCCTGTTTCCTCTACGGAGCTGGTCACAGCTCTACAGGGCAAAACAAGAGTGAAGCTAAAGACTTTCAATCCCCACCTACATCACGGTACTTCAGGATCGCTCCATGCACCAGCTGAGGTCTGGCAGTTGCTGTTCACAGCTGATTGTGTGCAGAGCCTCAGTCATTGCAGTGATGCCACATAGGAACTCCATGTGCTTGCAATGCTGTGTCTCTTACCATACTTGTCTGTAAACAGCTCCCACAGGTGTAGATGCAACTTTGTAGAAGTGTTAATAGGATAAATAGTAAAAAATAATAATCAGTGACATCGACTAGACTATTCCAAATGCCACTACATTACAGTTGCTTCCATTAATTTGTGCTTCCCCATGCTCTTTTCTGTCTACTGTTTTCCTGCTCCATTTCAGTTGTTCTTCCTGATACTCTGCTTCCATGCTGTCTACCTATTCCCAACTCCTTCCATTACATACTTTTAAAAAAAGTGGCCTGAAAGGGTCCTGGATGTCAGGTCTGTCTTGCACCAGCAGCTCAGAGACCCCAACATTCACAGAGGCTGCTTCCCTGTGTGCTGCTGGGGGACACTCCTGGGAGGCACAGGGAGGTAGGATGGCAAATGAGCCCAGCCACCATAGGAACTGCTGTTATAAAGAGAAGGGGGGAGGGACTCATTCTGCAAACATATACTTACACCTGAATGATTTTCTGTTCAAGTAGTACTTTTTAGCCAGAATCCACACAGCTTCATCACACAAAATCAGATGCTGCTTACAAAACAAAGGAAAAGGGAAGCAGTACGTCCTACCTCATGAGAGAACCTGGACTGACAATGAACACCGAAGGTTAAAGCAATTTTAAGTCAGAGGTAAAGTATTGCAAGAGTAGATCTAAGTTGCCCAGCAAGTTTTCTATTTCATCAGCAGATAAACATTACTTCCTTGTTTGACTTTTGCATTATTTTTTGGAGGCCGTGTGGGAAATTGTGTCTTTCTGTTGCTCCAGTGCATCAGAGAAAGAGATGGGGAATAAACTGTCTGGGATAGACAAGAAATGTTATTCAGTCTGTGCAGGTGTAATGATCCATGACCAGATGTACAGGCACTGCTCAAGAGACAGCCAACTGCATCCTACAGCAGGAGTTATGCCAGTAGTCTACAGTCACAGGAATGGAGTGAGAGGAAGCTGTAAGAGAAGCTGAATAGTGTATTGCACCTCCCAGTAATGTTGGTAGGTAATTTAGATTCTACATGACACCAAAAGCAGCTCTTGTACTTTCAGAACAAGCAGAATTTGGATTTCAGCCTTGCTTTACAGGTAATCTGCAGCATGGGCACATCTCTGAACTCCTAAGGAGACAGTGACATTTGAAATATTGATAAGGACTACTGATCGGAAAATTTCTATTCATCCTACATCCTGTTTCACTTTCAGCCACAGGGAATCTTTTAAGGAACGTAACAGACAGTACATAAAAAGTTACTCTTGGTTACAGGACACAACAACAAGTAACACAATTTAGTGAAAAATGTAGGGTGGAAATTTTCATGCACTTCATGTAGCTCCTGCTTGAAATCCAAGAAACCACAGGACATCCAGCAGATCAAAATACACCTCCTTGGCAGAAAACAGCTGTTATTTCTGAGGGCAGCTCAGCTGGCAGAGCTGGAATGAGCTGTAGGCATACAGCAACCTCTTGTGGCAAATCCAGCACACACAGAGTAATGAACAACCTTTGAAACTGCTTAAGCTACTCTTGATACAAGTCAAACCTCTATAAAATTGCGTTAGCAAATGACTGGGGAGTTGGAGTCTGTTACCTGGAGACTCAGCAATACTCAGACTTCAGAGCTTTAATAGTCCTTCTGTTTGATTCAAGATGAATTAAACATCGGTAGCCTGTTATAAATGAAGTGGCAGACTGAAATTTCTGTTAATAAAATTCTCCAGAAGCTTTTCATTAAAGCAGAGCAAGCGTGGCATAACGGCCAGAAGTAGAATCTGTGGCCAGGTATGACCAGAAGAATAAACATGCTGTTATGTTGAATCATTGTTCTCTGCACGGTTTTGCTGAATAAAACTATGACTGGTTTCAGCAGGGACATCAAAGTGCCTTTAATGTTTGCAGGAACTGAGCAAGACTGAGAACAGTTAAGAGTACAGGCCTGGCTCAATAGTGTGTTCTGCAGAGTGCTGGCAGAGCAGTAGCCCTTCAGCTGACAGGGGGGAGGACAAGAAAGTGTCAGACAGAGCTATAGGCCTGAGGGGGAAAAAAAAGGCATCCCAGTATGTGCACAGAATCCAGGACACCTACCTCTTCAAAAGGATGTAACTCACTAGTTGTGCAGAAACATGAAGTGTACGTTCCTCCAACCACCTGAGCAGCTGCAAATGCCTGTCCCACGCAGGCTGAGGAGGGGAGAGCAGTGAGAAGGTGCTGGAAGGGAACAGGAAGAATGGCAGTATGTGGGAAAAGGGTCATCAACAACAGTGAGGCTTTCCAAACAAAGAGGTGCTTTCCTGGGAACCTGGTGTGGGAGTTGTGCATCACAGAAACAATTACAATATGAGTATTGTAGATGACACTTATTAGACCAATGAACTATTTTATTTTTTTTACACTGTAGAAATATACTCCTCCACTGCTGGACCTAAGGGTGAGCTCAAGAAATGACTGAGCTTATGTATGCACCACTCACCAGAACTCTGGGGGCTTGTATGCCAGGCAGGATTTACTGTGCTTGAAATGATTTGCAAATCTGTGCATACCACTTAGAGAGGAACAGGCTGAACAAGTACATCCTGAAAAGGATAGAGGCTTTAAACAGCAGCTAATATTTGTTTATTAAAATTAAGTCTTGTGCTATAGCTCTCTTTTGTATTGCAACTCCCCAGACTTGCCATGTGTAATTTCTTTGCCATTTCATCTGCTGCAGCTTCACACAGGAGTCAGAAACCACATCCTCTCAGTTCTGGCCTCAGTCTGTGCACTGAGCAGCTCCTGCCAGACCAGTGACAAGGTACACACTCCCAAATTCCCAAGCAGCTCCATCAAGCACCACCTAACCTGGGAGTGGCAAGTGCTTAAGGGCAGAGACTCTTCCTTGCCCCGGAGGAAACTCCTCCCTGCAGAGAAGTCCAACAGGACATCTGTGTCTCGGGTCATCAAACAGCACATGTGACATTACCAACCTGACCAAGACACTGAACCAACCAACATGCACTGAATGTGTTTCCACTGCTTTCCTTGTCACTTGGCTCCAGTCACTCCCATCTCTGTAAGGTGTTTTGAGAGCTACACATAAAAACAACTGCATATTAACCAACACCGTGCCCTCCAACATGGTGACATGAAGATTAGCAGCAGAAATACTTTCCTGAAGGCATGTCCTTCTCGTGTAATGCCTCCATCGTTGGGAACAGTCCTTGAGAAGCCTGAAAACAGGCTTCCTGCAGGGGCTTGATTCTTCTAGCAAACCTACTGTTTTTGTTCCTTATGTTTTGAACTTAGTGGCAATTCATATTTAAATAATGAAAGCAAAGTATTAAGCTTGAACTAAATAAAACAAACTCCTTACAACTAAAGCACAATAGATTCATTGCAGTATCATCAGTGATGGGGCAAACACAAACTGAAATGACACAGAATGGAAGGCACAAACAGGCTGAAAAATGAAGTTGTCTACTATTTAGAAGTTCAAAATACAGTTTTCATTTCTTGCTTAGCTCTTGTTATTAAGCATACTACCATAAGCAGGATACCTTAATAAAGAGGTAAATAAATCAGAGAAAATAGTGCATCTGACAGTGCACCTGTCAAAATACAACAGGTCAAGAAAAGAGTGCCTTTGTTGAAAAATGCTCTTAATTACATGAAGTTCTTAATTATAAAATATATTTAAGAAGGTTCCTAATTATAAAATATATTTAAGCAGAACAGTTTAGTTTGTTGTCTATACAAATCTCTCAGAATCCCTCCAAAGACCAGTAAGTGCTACTGACACAAAAAGCAAGTATGAAACTTCTTGTAATGCCCCCACAGGGGACAACACCACCTGACAGAGCAGGACATAGAACAGATCACTTGCCAGGATTTCCTGCTCAAGATCCCTCCTACAGCAGAAGAGGAGCTTGCACTTCTTTATATTTAGTAAACCCACGGTACTGAGTTTATCAAAACTAGACCTCCCAAATTCTTGTTAGGGCCTCTTTTTACCCCTGAAAGGTTTCCCCAGGCAGTACCTGGAAGATCCTTTCCATCAAAGCTGCTCTGTGTCAGGCCGTTGGGCACTCCCCCGCCTCCCTGCAGCAGCAGTGCCAGGACCTTTTAGCAGAGCTGTCCCATCCACAGCAATGACTGTACAGCTGCCTGATTTATGCCACAAAGGGCTCCCTTCTACACCAAGCACGTCATCCCTCCCTGAAGGTACTGCTTTGAACAGCTAAATAACATTCAACTTCATGGAAAGTAATGGTCATAGAGGCCCCAAGAATCAGATCCCACAACTTTGCACTGGCTATTGGTTTTCTTCAGAAACAACAAGGACAAAGATTAGAATTCTGAAGATTTTACTAATATTCTTTCTGTAGGAAGCATGTATCAGCCATTGGTATGTTAGATGCACTGTGCTATTTTTGGCCTTGAAAGCATGAATAATCATTTGACACATGGACAGCTTTAACTCAAGCCCTGTTTAATCACTGACATTCCTATTGATATTCCCTGCCACAGAGCCAGCCTGGGGAGTGGAAGTGTGCTACACAGGATACAAAAACACAACTAGCTGCTTGCCAAACCCCATACCTAACTGCAATATCCATAAACTATGTTGCTCCTGTTGTCCAGGATAACAGCGACAACCATGTGGAAAGGACACTATGAAAAGATGATCCATTGACAAATGACATTTTTTGAGTATCACTTTTCACATGAAGTGTGAATTTTAGGGTACAATTTAGCTACTCTGGTTATGCATGGAGCTGAAGTGTACTCAGAACATGAGGGGGGGTGGGACAGAAATAGTTGGGTTCTTCTCCTGAGGGGAATGACCCAAGAAAAAATTCAGACAGGCTCCAGAATGATCAGTGGATCTACACATGGGAAAGCCACACAGACTACTATGTCTAACAGAACAACAGAACCAAGAGCAAAAGATTTTCTGCTGCCAAAAGGTGGGATTGTTGGTACAATTCTATCCTGGTTAAACCTGGTTTTGTGGTATGCCTTTGGGACCACCATAATGTGGGACTAACATTTAAATTCAAAATAGATATTACTGAAACCAAAACAACTAGATTTGCCCCAATCAAAGAGGAAGAGAAAATTTTGTATCCTCAAATTTTTGAAATTGGACCGTATGTGATCAAAAATGCAGATCAGCAACAACTGTTGTCTAATCCATCTTGGTTTCTTAAACGGGTGGAATTAGTAATGCAGATTCATACTTCTGCACTAAGCCCATGTGCTCACCATTCCCAAGTGCTCCCTGTGCAGGATGGTTAGCTTGGCTACATGGGCAAACCCTCACTCCTCCGAGGCAACTTGTTTTTCTCCGAATACTAATAAGTTTTGTCTTAACTGTAGCACTGTATATTCACACTTAGGAAATCATGAAGCAGTTGACTTACCTTATCATCCCTGTGATTCATTTCAGGAAACACGTGATGGCTGCAAAGGGAGACTTACAATATGTATAAGAAGAATCATAAGTCTAAAAGTAGAAAATTGATGAATAGCAGGAGCAAGGTTCCAAATACCAAGATAAAGAACAAAGCAATTAAGCAATGGAAGCAACAGCCACAGGAATGTGGAAAACACAAAACTGATAGCCTAGGTCCTTGAAAGGGGGAAAACAAGATAACACTCTTCTTATCCTGGATATTATATATCCAAGTTTGACTGCTTCTGTGGTGAGAACTTGCCCCAGCCATTGACTTTGCTTGTTAAGTCATCATCATAGTAAAAGCCACACCCCTGGCTCAGCCCCCCTGCCCACCCAGCACGTGCCACCACTTCTTGGGACACTACACCTTGAAACTGAAATGGAGAAAGGGGACGCCAGCAGCAACTTAAAGCATGGAGTGAAGATCTGCTGTTGGCCTGAGAGTGTAACCATGGGTGTGCCTGTGCCTCTGTGCCAGCTCTGAGGACTCAGCACACAGCAGGACAGTATCACCCTGTGGCCAGAGCAGGGCTCTCTCTATCATCCCTGCTGCCAGTGTGAGCAGGACATGGCTGGGGGAACTGCCTGCACTGGGATTTACACTTGCTCTTCCCTGTTATTAAGCCTGACCCCCCAGGGCCCCACTGCTACCAGTCCGTGCTCAGACTCATCCCCCATTCTACCAACCCTAACTCCACACTCAAATCATGGCCTTCTCTCCACCTTGGCTCCTCCTTGGTACCTGCCCTCCTATCCAAAGGGTTCAGCTCCAAGTCAGGTACTTCCTTCACTCATCTGCCCCAGCCCCAACCAGGTTCAAACAGACTGTTCCCACTCAGTTCTTCCTGCTTGCTGGATCCCTGAAGAGGAGCTGGATTTCCCTACAGAAAGGAATGCGAGCAAGAAATATTTCTTTCCACTGCATGGAAATCTTTCCTAGGATTTTCTGAATTACTTATCATGCAGTAAAAGCCTAAGGCATGCATTCAGCACACCCTGTGCCTTTCAGTCATGACCTGCTTTCGTGGTATCATGTCCACTTCAGCTTTGCTATCATTAAATTAAAAAAAAAAACCCAAACAAAAAACAACAGGGCTGATAAGTTTCCATTCCTTCAGTCAAAACTCAGTAAGTGAAGCTGTTAAGACTTTTTGGCATTGAGCAATTACTACACACTAGAAACACCAGGTTAGACAGAAGCCATGATATTGCAATAAATCCTGAGTACATTTAGTAACTCTTCTAATGTTTTATTGTCAGTAACAGAAACATAGCAAGATACAAGGCATACAGCTTTTGAGCATTTCACCACAGTGTACTAAGTGCTATATAAAATAGGAACTCACTTTTAAGTAAACGAATATTTTAACGAGTATCTTAACACTTCCGTGGCTGTTGAATAATGTAAATTCTTTTAGGCAGTATGAACTTCTCCAAGGTAGGCTGTGGCTTTTGGTGAGCCACTTGTAGTGCTGCTGCATGAATTTTGTGGCTCATCTGTAACATTAAACGAGGGAGAAAAAGGTTGTGATAGAACAGTTTTTCAATTATTCTCTTCCTAAACTTCATCATGTAGTTTAAAAACAGCAGTAAAACTTAAATCCACAAAATTTCAAGCGATCAATACATAAAACTCATGGTGATTCAGTACATTTAGTTATATTTCTGTTTTCAAAGTGATATTAGTCTGACTGTCTTCAGTAAACTTTTATTTTTTTTCCCTTTCTTAGAAGGTCATAAAATGAGCTGCCGAGATAAGGAAAGCACAGCAAATAATCGATATTTCAGAGTTAACAGTGAGTTGATTCAAATTCTCATTTTCCCAGATTCAAAATCATCACCATTGCAGTATCCAATTATCACTTTCTAAACTACTGAGGAAGCTTCCCGTATGAGATTCTGGAAACCAGCAGGAGAAGGAAATGGTAGGCCAGAACAGAAGAGGTGGGGACAAGGGGAAAAGAAACAGATCAGCTGAATCTGTTCTTCTTAAATAAGTCTGAGCCAAAAATCAAGATCTACAGACTAAAGCTATAAACACATCTGTTGATGAAAGGCTCGTGTTGAAATGATGCAACTCATGTTTTACTGAGCTCAAGGGATGAGAAACTCTTGGATACTTCAGAATCTGAAGACTGCAAGTGTATAAGAAGGAGATGGTGACTGCCAGCTCTTCAGATTGCCACACGAATCAGAGAGCAGCCTGTGAAATGGGCTCTGGCAAAGCGCAGGTGGACGTCTGCACCACCAGCAGAAAGAGGGCAGGTCCTTTTCACACACGGAGCACCCCAGCCACACAACCACTACAGAAATAGATTATTTCAACAACATTTAGTGGCAGGTGACAAACCTGCAACTGCCAGATGACAGCAGCTTAAGGACAGTTCACTTTTTGTAATGTTTAGCTTTACAGAGAACCCCTGACTTGTTCTTCCAGACTTACTTACTTTGCTCAGTGCTTCTGTTACCAAGACACCCATGTTCTGAGGTTTTGAAAAACTGACAATAGCACTGTAAAGCAGAAGAAAAAAGTATTTAGCATTTCCATCTCACAGAAACACTTTGTCACTTCGATTTTCAGACTTAATACAAAATATTTTGCAACAGAAATTTAGGTCTTGGAGCTAAATCCTTTAATCACATTAAAGATGATATAATATCAGAAAAGGCATGCTTTTTCATTGAACACCACAAAATCTGTTACAGGCTGTTTTATTCAAAAATCTGTACATGAAATATCATCAAATATCTCAAAAAGGATTTTTTTTTGTACACTGTGGAGTAGCTTCACAGAAGCTGAGCACTAATATCCTGAACTACAAAATCCAAGTTTGTAATTTTCTTGATTCCAACCCAGACCCATGAAAAAAATTCACCTGCTGCTTTTAGGGAGTGTTTACTTTCACAGCAGCTATTTGTCAAGCAAGAACTTTTTTCACAAGATTATCCCATTAATTTCTCCATATTCTAATGAAGACCACCATGTTACCAGTATTCCACAAATAAACAATCTGTGGATATGAAATAATTTAGCTGAACAACAGAAAGCACTTTGGATTGCACGTTCTTCTGATGATATCATTATATCCACTGACACCTCTGTAGCTTAAAATGGAGTAGAGAAAAATCATTATGAAAACCAGGTACTGTAAACGTGACTCTTGAAAAAGCAGAGACTGCTTTAGTTAAGTTAATGGTTCTATGGATCAGGCAAGACATTCCCTACTGACATTGCAATTCAGCAATCAACAGTTTACTACACTGACAAATACAAGTTATTCAAGATCTGCTTATGCCATCAGGTAACTACAACTACAAAAAAGACAGCAGCAAAATTACACCCAGACAACTGGCAGTAAGTGAAAATAAAAAGCTGCTAATTCCAAAAAAACCCCACAATCAGTCAAAACTTCAGGAACACCAGAAGTCATTCAAATTATACCCTCATATCCCTATATTAGTCAACTTTTTGTTAAGTGACATTTAAGAAAAGTGCATATATTTTAGAAAAATGTTCAGTCTGTGTTTGAAAAAGGTGTAAGAAAAATACTTGTTTTAATGATGACATCAACCCATCACTGCTACTTTATTCAAAAGTAGAACCACGCCTTCATTTTTGGGGCAAAACAGCTTGATTACCCTTATGAAGTAGCAAACAGAGAAAGCCAAATTACATTTCAGATTGAAATATGGGCTACAGCCTATACAGGACATAACAGACTCTTTGTTAGGGGTGGGCAATGTAGGTTTAATTTCCTTCACAATGTGGATAGCCTAAAATTCATTCTGATTTCACTGGAGACTGTTTGACCATTTCTTTATTAGGCATAGGTAGGCAACACTTTGTTTTAATTTCTCTTCCATAACACATGACAATAAAGATGAGACTCAGCCTTTGCCTTTCATTGCAAGGCACTGTCCGTGGGTTTTGAACTTGTTTTGGTTTGTCTTTTTTTTTTTTTTTAAGTTGATACTTAATTCAAAGTTGCCTTTTATCTATATTTTGCACAAGTTAATTAAAGAATTAAACTCCTCGAAACTAAGAGTTTTCTTTCTGTTCAAAGGCCATTACCCTAGAACTTTAACTCTGGGGCAGAGGGGAGCAGGCTCTGCACTGCAGTACCTTGACTTTTCTTTTCCTGCAGGTTTAGTGTTTTTTTCAACAGGTCCGTTTTCTTGCTTTTTAGACACTCTCATACCTCCAGCTTTAACTGCAAGAAGAAAGTGCAATTTAAGCAAAGATATCTACAAAATTACATAGAGAACAAAAGAATACTTTTATCCCAGACAACTGTTAACCAGTAACTCCATGCTTCACTTGTACACATGCACACACAGGAGGAGCCACAGAGATCCAGCAAAGGCTCCAGAGTTCTGTGTCATGGCAGACTTGAATCAACTTCCAGATACCATAATCAAGAAATCAGAGGGGTTTCAGTCGCTGCTAACTATACTAAATCTTAACACCTCACTATGTTACATGCATTCTTCCCCAGAAACTATTACATCTGAGATTTGTATTTTAAATATAAAAAAGAAAACCAAACCAATATCTAAACACTTTCAGGTTTTTGAACAATATCACTAACAGCAATAAAGATTTCATGATTAGTTCAAGGTATTCTAGAATAAGTAATGTAGATAAGAACCAGCTGCATACTACTTGTGTTCCAACATGTTTAATTATATTTTATTAAGATATCTGCCAATCACAAAATCAATTAGCACTAATTAAGCTACAGGCAACCTAACAATAACAATTTAAGTTCTGAGGCATGTGTGAAAATTCAATTCTGAACAAAGTTATCTAAAATATTCTCTTGAAAGAAACCCTTTCTCCCTCTTCAGGAGGATATTTTAAGTTCTGGGATGTACTACATAGCTGTTTTGTAATTTGTTTTTCAAAGCAACGGAAAGCTATGTCAAAGTTTTAATACGGAGTTCAACTTTTAGATATTCATAAAGTGCCCTGTTAGCCGTGCAATCTAACAGTTAAGTGCCAAATCTTTACTAATTTCCATATTTAGAACAACATGTATTTTTAAAGTAAAAAAAGAAAGTTAAGTATGCCCCCCTACCAAAAAAAAACCCCAAACCCCAAATCAAAAAAACAAAAACCCCACAACACAAAACCAAACCCAACACACCCAGACTAAATAAAGCCCACTGAAAACTAAGGCACTGAGCTCAGCTGAATCCCCGTCAGAATAAAGGTGCCCACTTGAACCGCCTTGCTCACTACATGCATGGTTCAAATCACTGACTCCTGCCACCCCACCCCTCTGCCAGAGCTGTCCCCATTGCAGTCACAGATACGCCTCACAAAGACTTACTTGCAGACTCCAAGCTGCAGTTTACTGTGATGGAAACCCAGAAAGGCCGTACCTGCCCCAGGCCACTGACTGCAGTGGCATAAAGGCCCTTTCAGGTACGGCCCAACAGTCCCTGCCACACACAGAAATCCAGGAAAGGGAGGCTGAGAAAACTACTTATATCATAAATTCACGTAAAAGTATGCTTAAAACCCCCAAAGTGAACAAAAAGTACTTTCAAGAAAACAAAACACATCTTAGGGGTACAGTGAGACGCACAAACCAGGCCTGTGCTCTTCAGACACTTAAGTGCTCCTAAATACACCGGGGGAACTCAGCTGGCTCAGTGCGTGTGGTGAGTGTCCCTCAGCTCTAAGGGCTGTCCCTGCAGCACCTGTCCCTCAGCCCCACAGGTGAGCCTGCAGCAGCTCTAAGGGCTGTCCCTGCAGCAGCTCTAAGGGCTGTCCCTGCAGCAGCTCTAAGGGCTGTCCCTGCAGCAGCTCTAAGGGCTGTCCCTGCAGCAGCTCTAAGGGCTGTCCCTGCAGCAGCTCTAAGGGCTGTCCCTGCAGCGCCTGTCCCTCAGCCCCACAGGTGAGCCTGCAGCAGCTCGGCCGTGCCCAGGGCAGGCGGGACACAGCGCACGCACTCGTGTGCTCCACACGGCTGCCGGCCTGGCCCAGGGGCTGCTCACACGCTGTACGCATCTACAGGCTCCTCAAAAACCCTGCCGTGCGCTTAAACACTCGCTACAGCCCCCTTACAACCCGCTACTACTCCACACAAGCCTCGCACCGGCAGCGCGGCGGCGGGAGCAGGCGGCCGTGCTCGACGGCTCCCTCAGAGTGCCACCAAAGGGGGGAAAGGAAGTTTTTCACGTTACGACAGGAGGCGAGGAATAGGGCTGGCACTCTAAACAGGTATTTCACTATAGCAGGACGCCCGTTCTGTCCCCGTCGCTCCCGATCCCCGAGGGGCGCAGCCCCGCTCCCGCACACCGAGTGCGCCAGAGACGAGGCGGGTGCGGGACCTGCCGGGGCGAGCGGGCCGCGCACCACGGACCCGCCTCCGCCACCCCCGTTCCCGCACGGCCGCTGCTCCCCGCGGAGGAGCCGCGTCTGTCCAGGACGGAGCGGTGGGAGAGCCCCTCACACTGCCCCCGGAGCGACCCCGGCCCCTACCTGCGGGAGGGACGCGCCTTCTCCGCGCCATGGCGGGACCGGGAACGGCGCACCGGGGCCCGGGAGCGCCGCGAACCGCCGGGAACCGCACACCGATCCGGGCGGCAGCGCCGCGAACCGACCGCCGAACGGGGCGGCAGCGCCGGGAACCGCACACCGATCGGGGCGGCAGCGCCGTGCGCGGCTCGGCGGGGCGGGGAGCGGCGCTGAGGGCGGTGAGGGGCGGGAAGGGCGGTGAGGGGCGTTGGCTGAGGGGCGCTGAGGGGCAGTGAGCGGCCGTGAGCGGCCGTGAGGGCGGTGAGGGCGGTGAGGGGCGATGAGGGGCGGTGAGGGAGGGGCAGTGAGCAAGGGGCAGTGAGAAGCCATGAGGGGCCGTGAGGGTGGTGAGGGGCGATGAGTGAGGGGCGGTGAGTGAGGGGCGGTGAGGGGCCGTGAGGGGCGGTGAGTGAGGAGCGGTGGGGGCTGAGGGCGGTGAGGAGAGTGAGGGGTGGTGACTTTTAAAATTATTGCTGTGGATTCAAAGGTCTTGATTCAGTGAGGTAAATCTTCCCCTCTTCAGTCATTAGTGTCTACTTGAGACAGAAGCAAAACACGGCATTCACATGCCCTCGTTAAAAAAATAAACAGTAACAAAGATTGATGTTTTACACAACAAAGGCAATAAAAATTATTTTTTTCTATCTGTTTTAAGGCCCTAAGATATCATCATAAGCAGTTTGAGTCTTCTGGTCGTTACATACTAACAAAGACCTTGTTTTTTCTACATCAGTTATCAAAATGATTCTCCTTCCCTTTTTTCTTAAGAATCTGCTCAAAACTTGTAAACATTAAAAATACCTCACAATACTTCCTATTTCCACATTAGTTTTTGATTTCACCATCCTATTTCTATATTATTTGATGATTTTACCATCTTTTATTACTAATGCATTACTCATATAATCCACATTCAAAGATCTTTATCTTGGTGATCCTGCTGCCTATACCTTACTGAAATTGTATTTTTGGCTAAGATACAATAGCTTACATATTGATCACCTATCATGTCATAAATACAGGAGAGAAACAGCATGAGCAGGAAGGATTTAAGTGCCAAGAAAGGACAGCAACAAAGCTGCTGGGCGAAGCCACATTAACGTTATAAAGCGTGGTCAGTAGGTTTTCCAAATCCTTTGGAGTACAAAGGCTGAACTTCGTTAGTTTGAACAAAACATATGAAAGATCCAATTAATTTATTATAAAATTCTTTAGTAATTTAAGCAAGTCTCCTTGCATTTCAGTGTACAAAACTGACTTAAGTACTGATTATTGCCCTGGGTGCTTAAAGAAGCAGCTTAATCTGTAGGCAATAACACAAAACTGTACGATGATACTCACAAGCTCTTGTTAACGTAGGAGAAAGAACCCCTTAGAATAAGAGACAGTTTCAAAACACTCTCAGTGCTGCAAAAAACACATGCAGCCTACCAGTGAGAGGCTTTACTCTGAAATCCAGCCCAGGGCACTGTTAGACACAGAGATTTCTCTCTGCCGTGAGGAGTTACATAGCAAAAAAAAATGTCAAACCTCCCTTTGTTTCCAGGCCTGTAATCACTTACTGTCACACTCCAAAACTACAACAATGTAGCCTTTAACAAACCCATCAAACTTAGGAGTTATACTACTTAACCTGTATAAATGTTTCACAGAATTTATTAAAAAAAAAGCCACCTGTCATAACGTTTTAATTATGATGTATTTAATCACTTCAGCCAAAAGCTCCAATTTTGTCATTCAGAAAACGTAGCCTGAATTTCATCTGTTCTTTGAAAAGCTGTGATATGAAATTAACTCTTTGGCCACAATGAAGTCTCGTTGTCTTCAGCAGCACCATAATTTCACCCTTCATTAATACAGAATGTCCATAAAATGACATTTGTGTTAAACATATATTTGCAACATATATTTTTATCATCAATGATAAAATTTGATACCAATGAGAATGGCATCCAAAACTGCTGTGAACTGAGAGACTTCCGTTATTTTTCTTTGTTGCTTAATATAGAAAATACGTATCATTAGTTGTAGTAGGTTTCAGGTAAAAATTTCCCAGCATTGGTGGCTCAAGCAGATTATTCATGTGTGATTGTACAACATTTCCCTTGTATGAAGTAAAAAACGTGAAAGAGAAGAGTGAGTAAGAAACTGGTAGGGATTTACAGCACGTCAACCACCTTCATGGGTAACTTCTGTTGGCTTGGATTTTTGGAGCAGGAAAAGTGAAAGGACATCCAGTCTAAACCAGATCTATCTGATATTTAATTCTGTGTGTATGAGGCAGGAAATAGCTTTGCAATGCAGCAATTTCCTCCCTAGAAAAGCAACTTACTTTGCAAATATTAAAGTCAATAGAGCTGCATGTCTCTGCCCATAAGCATTTAGCCTGAAGTGCATGATGGCAATTTTGATTGGGGAAATAAATTCTTTCAGATAAAGTGATCTGCAGGAGAGATAACAAAAGAAGCCTATCCTGAAGGACTTGGTCAGTAGTAAGGGATTTTCATATTCATGTCACTCTGCTGCAGCAGAAAAATACTGATTTTCCAGTTTATTTACCTGAGCTGTTTGGATTGGAGAGGTGAAGTTTCATTACTTACCACACAAGGCAGTCATGTAACACAGCTTTGGTGTGCTGCCCAAAGCACTAGTAATGACAAGGTTTAGTGCCATTGTACATCTGTTCCAGGAATTCCTGGGAAAAGCATGGGAACTTGGTTTAAATGAGAAATCATAAGTTCATGTTGTGGATTTCTTACAATATTAAATACAGTTTCCAATTTCTTTTTTATTTTTCTTCTGCCCTCTTGACTTCAATACCTCTGTCACTGGTTACTATCTTTAAACCAGAAGCTGTTGTGAATGGAAACGATATCTACACAGTACTTGTTGGAGCACCTCATTCTTGACAGGCAGCCCTTGGCACTGCCTCAACAATGCCACAGCACCAGATGAGATTTGTAAGCCTGATTTTATGTAATGCTTTCATTTATTAGAAATTATTAGACTGGTTTGTCTGGGTGAGAAGAATGAGTGAGAGAACCATCCTTCTCTGACCATGGGATAGTGCAGCTGAAATCTTTTGTTGTTCCTGCCACCCTCAGTCCCATTTCCTGATCACATAAATATCAAGACTTCAGAGGTGTTCACCTGATGCTGGGGATAGATTTCTTTTAATGGTACTAGTCTGTGAATGGCTGAATTAAGAATGGAATTTATATTATAATGGTTCTACGTATTTTCAGAATGTGTTTCCTTCCACCTAGGCAGATGTAGGAAAGCCTAGGGGCAGATACAGGATTTTAACTGTAATAAAGAGACAAAAGTCAAAGGAAATTTTCCTGAGTGGTGCTCTCAGTGCTCTGGAACTCTTCATCTTTCCTGACAATTCCTCCTTTTGAATCTACATTCTACAGGCAGGTTATTACCTGATTGCAAAGTCTGAGAAGTCACTTGGCAGGATCAAGAATCAACATGTTCCCAAGCAGACTGTCTGATCTAATCTGGCTAACAGCTATTAGCATAATTATACACCAGGCATGGTCCACATCTAAACCAAGCACTCAGCACAAAGACATATGGAATACCTTCCTCATGTGTCATGTTTGAATTCAGCTCTCTCTGTCATTAAAAATCTATTGCTCATGACTCTGCAGTATTTTCCCTTATCCATCTTATCTCCAGTATTGCTTGTTTTCAAACGTCAGAATTACTAGATTGTGGCTACTGGTATAAACTGATAGTAATTTTACATCTGGTAATTGAATGCTGTTTTCTTAAGTTCAGTGACAGACAGGCAATACCTTTTTCAATTGAATCAACAGAGCTGGATTTAGATGCTGCAGGAGCCTGATGGAGACAACAAAAATTCTGGTGCAGGTATATGGCATATTTTTATATTCTGGTGCAGGCATATGGCTTGTTTTTTATTAACACATGCTTTAATTCCCCCTCGCTGGGTTTTATTTTCTGCTCATAGTAGTTCAGCACAAAATTTATACTATTAGAGAGAACATTATTGTTAAGTGTCTAAAGCATGAAAAGACCAATTAGTGAAGGCAGCCATATTGTCAGTGGGTTTGTATGGATATAATTGTTCACTAGTGCTTATATTATGTGTCTGACAAAATCTGTAGGATTTACATCTGTAAAACTTACCTGTTTCTTGTAGGAGACCTGACAAGTTCAAGACCTGGTTCTGATCTGGATGCCAGTTGTTTCGCAGAGTACAAGAGACAAAGAATTGTCCAGGCACTGTATGATGGTGCTGAAAGGTAAAGGGTAATATCATTAAGGAGAAGAACCTTACTGGATAATTTTAGTTATAGAGTCAATTTTTTTTCACAGAAGGACTAAAAAGATATACCTTTGTCATCATGTGTTTTATCCACCTAAGTGTCCTTGTTTAAAAAAGTATCACTGGGTAATGGAATAAGCGAATCAATTCTAAAGAATTCAATTGCAGCACCCTGAGCTGCATGGAAACATTGCACAGATTTAATGATTTCTGTCATATCATAACAGCAGCATTTGTTTCCTCAAAGTTAAACACGAGAATCCCCTGCATTTTGTTCCTGTTTATCATGGCTTTAAACCTTCACCTTCAGAAAAGAGTCAAATGGTGGGAAGCAAAGGAAAGAAAAATATCTTTTAGTATCTTGCAGTTTGTACATGTCGTGTGCTGTTGAACTCCTCGGAGCTGGCCAGCTCCAATCACTGTAGAAAATTTGTTGATTTTTTCTACACAAGCACAGAAAAGCAACTTTTTATGTCAGAGTGATGAGCCACTAGAGGCACATGACAGTCAAAACTTCATAGTGGACCTGTTTGTGAACAAGAAACGTACCTTTTTCTTGGTGGGGGGGGTTATAAGTTGACACTTACTGGAGTAAGTGCCATTGGAATAGCAGCTTCCTGAAACAGGTGTGATGGCGGGATAATCCTTGGAGGGATGTCAGTGAGCTGCAAAATGTGTTTGGAAGGGCTGTGAGCAGCACCTCACGTTTCAGCTGACAAGGTAACTTGCCCACCTTCATGCTGTGGGGGCAGTCCCCATATCTTTAGGTATAGTGTAGGAGTTGAATCAACTCTTCATGTGGTTTGAGCAGAAAGAAATGCTTTGAACATAGAAGGAGAACCAGACCCTTAGTCTGATGGATGAATGCCAGTGTTCAACAACGGAATGGGCAGGTACATAGGATGGTATCTCTGAAGAAACTGTTGCATTCTCCTTTTAAAACTCCATAAAGTGTTCATGTTCCCACGCTTGTCCTCGCATCCCCCTGTAGAGCTGAGATGTGATTAATTCCTCAATTTTCTTTTTCAATTTCACTCTGCATTTTTTTTCAAACAGACGAGAAACTGTTGTCTTCATTGTTTACATGAGCCACGTCACTGAAGATTTAGTGTGCAGTCAGAGCATGCTCATTGGCAACATCCTTTAGAACACAACATCATCATTCTTTGAATTACTACATCCTTTTGCTATAGGGAAAGAGTCTATTTTGAAATATTTACAGTGTCAGAGTTCACAGTGGAAGAGCAAATGCTTAGTCCTTAGCAGGACCTATTTTAATAGAAATAGTGAATCTGCCATGTCACCCAAACCTGGAGCTGTTCTGCTTACCTGCTCTCGTGTCACTGGTGCCATGAGGATACTGGAAACACTGGGAACCCAAGGGAAGTGCAGTGATGGGGAGCAATAATGGTGGTTACAGACAGCATAGAGGTAACAGACTGTTCAGAACCAGGAGGGCTTGTGATTTAGGTACTTAAATAATCAAACATTTTTATTGGAAAGAAACCCAACAGAATGTAGTCAAAATGGAGACCGTAATTTCTATGACAGCAAGAGGACCTTCATTTCCTTGGGGAGAAGAAAGGGAGGAGTTGAGTGATGGAAAGAAAACAGGCTTCAGTTCTGAAGTACCTTGGATTGCCCATATCAAAAATAAAAACACAAATCCCAGTAGGAAGGTGCAGGATTTAGCACTTTGGGCTGCCAGCCTGACACATTTCCACTGGAGAGAGCTGGGGAAATGGCCTAAATGCTTTGATATATTTAACCTGCTGAAAAACATACAATTAGAATTCGTGTTCATGGTATTTGTTTCTGAATATCACACACAGAAAATAATAAGAAAAAAATGAACAGGGAACAGCTTTCCATGGATGAGACTTCCATATTTATTGTTATTCCATGTGCATAGAAAATGGCAGTGAAGTTCCTTATGAAATAGGCAGGGAATGGGAGAGGTGTGGATGTACTGGACCGGATTTTGTGCTTCAAAATTACACTATTCATTTTTTAAAGTTTGGGCTTTTTTTCTCTTGGATTTCTTTTTGTGCACTATGTTTCAGATTCCTTTTCCAATGACACACTGCATTACAAATGGATGGCACTTGAGACCGAGGTGGCGTTTCCATATTTACACGCACGCAGAATGTACACGACGCAGCAGCATACAATCCTGACATTTAGTAATAGCGAGGAAACAGGGGCAGCCGGCGGAGTTTTTCTGTACAAACTATCAGACCAAGACTTTTATTCACATAAAAAAAAATCAGCTTTAATTTGCTCTGACCTACACACTTTCCAAATTCATTGTACTCAATTCTCAAACCTTTCATCACATCGCCCACACCCTCACCAGACTACAGGAGCTACAAGTAATGATACCTAACACCTAAACAGAGCAAAACCGTCCCTGCCAGTTTTCCTCCTGACAATTCCTCTCTCAAAAAAACCCCAAAACAAATCTTCCTTGTTCCTTCTTGTCTTTCACTTTCGCATTTCATAACCAAAGCCACTCGGGGCCGTTCCAGTCCTTCTCGAGCCAGACGAGAACCACGCTGGGTTGTTCTCTCTGGTGCTACACCCAGGAGTCAGGGGAGCCCGGGTACTGTTCTGCTCGGTAAGAAGATCGTCTGGTGGAATAAAAGTCTACATAATTGGTGGTTGATTTCAGTCCATACTGTGTTGTGTAATCTGAAGCAGCAGGAAAGTGAACTCGGTCGTCGAAGTAGGGGTCCTCGTAGCTGTGTGGGGACTGCAGGTACAACCGGTAGGCATCGTAGTTTTTCCTGGTGGTATCTTCTTGGCTGTAGTATAATTGCTGATGCTGCTGGCAAAATGATAGAAAAATAAGCTTTCAAGGTATAATCAACAGAGAAAATACTTGTTTCTCAAACTCACACACATTGTAAAGAACCTTTCCCAAGTGCAGCTCTACCAGTGACAGTAACACAGGTCTCAAACCTCCGTGAAATGTACCCAAGGAAGTGGTACATTTCCCTGAGCCTGCTGCATGTCTCCTCCCACACCCCCGGGAAGGGAGCACAACTTCAGAGCGCAGGTGTAGGAGGTACAGAACCTGACCATACCTACGAACCCCCCCAAGCCCAAATCAAATCAGAGCAGAGGTCTCGGACCCCGCCGTGAGAACTCGTAAGGGAGCAGGCGCAGCAGCCCCGGGGCTGGCACAGGGCAGTGCCCAGAGCCACAGCCCCCTGCTGAGCCTGGGCAGCTCTGGGCTCACCTGCAGCCGTCGGTTCTGTTCTCTCGCTGGTGAGGAATAGGAACTGATGTAAATTGGGGAAGCTTTGCTGGAACCTGGCAGAAAACAGTTTAAGGATAAACTTCAGTCTTTATTCTTCCACCTCTTAAGTCTATTGGCTTCTATTTTGCCTATTATGTAGCACTCAAACAATTAAATCTGCAGATTTTAGCATCTACTAATGTAGATATATATAAAATGTAATAACAGAATTAAGGCAAATGTTGTCCCTCAGCAGCAGTTACAGTGAAGCCAAGAGGCTTTTGTTGCTGGTTTTTGTTTTACAGATTCATAATGTTTAAAACAAGGCATTTCCTTCTCCTTAGAGACAATCATCTACTAATGTGCAACTTGTGTCACATAGTGAGAAGGAAAAGGGATATCAGAGAAAAGATTCTGATCTTTTGGTATAATTTAGTAATATAATGTTATAATATACAACTGCATGTTATAATTTATAACATCATCATATAATGTGAATAAAACAATTTTCTGTAATAGTACTTGAAATAAAAATAAGAATTCCAACCACCTCTCACCTCCCAATATGCAAAGGGATCTACTCTGGTCCCAGTGCAGTTTTACAGAGATCAGCAGAGCCAGGTGACACCCTGCCCTGTGCCACAGCACCAAATACAACCAGTGGAAATGGGAAGCAACAGTTGGTACAACCAGCCCACTACTGGAAGTGCCTGTGACTGAACTCCTCCCCCAGGGAGCCTTTCCCGGTGCAGTTCCCAGCTCCCAGCTGGTCCCTTACCAGTGTAGATGTCCTTATGTGCCATGACATCGCCCTGGCTACTGTAATACTGCAGAGAGGGGTGTGTCCTGTCGTACTCCGGCCGGGGCTCCCTGATCCCCAGCAGAGCCGGGGACGAGGACGTGCTGCCAACTGGTGGGAAAAGAGAGGTTCTCAGGAGAAACAGACGCCTTTCACACACCCAACCTTCCTCACCCCTTCCTGCCATGAGGGTTCACAACTTGGGAGGTGGGAAAGGACAGAACAGTCACAGCTGTTCCTGGGTGAACCACCCTGGTGACAACTTCCACTGCCTCCCCTTGGCCTTGTCAAGCAGGAAAGCAACACTTCCTATGAGGAGTTTTTACTAAGTTGTCTCTGAAGTACAACAGCCTCTCAATATCATGTTTGAGCTGCTCATCTACTTCCTACTTGCCATTAAAAGAACTGGAGTAACACAGTTGTTCTGCTGGTGTATCCGGGGAGAGAAAGTGCCCAGATAGGAATGTGACAGTCGGTATCGGAATCTCCTTTTACACTTGGGTAGAATCCAGTCAGTTCCCTGAGCCTACGCCGTACTTGCTTCCTTGGTGGTTGAGAGGAACTCTGGCATAAAAGACACTATAGTTTACTTCTTGGAGGAAAATAAATCCCTCATGGAGCCCTTGTTTTTCAAGTCAACCATGTCATGAAGGAATGTGTGAGGGCTGTTACTTTTACGTAAAGAAGTAATTGAACAAGAGTACTGTAGGAACTAGCCACTGATTTTAGCAGCCATGGTAGGTGGGTATTTCTCTGTATTAACAGAGATCTGCTCTAGAGAGTCTTGAGAAGAGTAAATTGGATAAAATAAAATGCAAAAGGAAGACAAAATAGAAGGCTTCAGGTAGGTTTTGTACCAGCCTTCGGGAAGATGTAAATAGCACTGAAGGCGCTAAAGGAACAAAGGCGAGAAATAAACGAGGAGGAGTCAGAAAAGTAACATTTTTGTATTTGGTTGCTCATCCTAATGGGACATGACATAGTTGGGAATGACAACGGGCTCCTCGCTGTGGGTCTGTCGCTGTTTCTGCTGTCAGGTACCCACGTCCACGGTGCCCACACAGCGCAGGGGGAGCAGCTCTGGAGAGGGCAGTGGTTGGCACCAACGTCCAGCTGTGCACGCTGAGGATCTCACTGTGCAGGAACAGCCCAGGAACACCCAGAGCACCTGAAGTACTTGGCTCAAGCACCAAGGGGAGACAGCCTGACCTCCATGTTTTAGATGGAATTAGTAGCAACCAGAGAGGCTCTTTGAGTTAAAAACATGGAAAGCAGGTCCCCTTCGCCCTCCCTGACTGACCTGACTGCATGACAGGTGACATCTGCTGATTGCCTGTGGATAGAGAAGGGTGGGATTTGAATCTCTCTCTCTCCAGTGTTGATACTGGTGTAATAAAGTGACTTTGATTCCACCCATCCTGTGGAGTGGCAAAAAGAAAAAAAAATCAAAATAAATGGCGAGTTATAAATAAACGAGGAGTTTTTGTGGCACCATTTTCCCATGTAGGCTGATTGTGTACTTTACCTTTTTGTAAATGCTCCGGAGGTCTCGGTACTGCCACAGCGTGTTCAGGACCTGGGCCGCTGCCTTGACAACCTTCAGTGAGGACCTGGGCAAGGGAAAAGTGTTGCAGTGTGAGAAAGCCATGGAATTCCACTGCAGCAGAACAGTGTTCTGAGCTCCATAACAGCCCCACCCTGCTGCTGTGGGGCCAGGCCAGCCCTGCACCACCAGTGTGAGCATGGCCCAGCCTGGAGATCAACCCTCTCCAGCCTGGAATGTTCCCTTCAGGTCACCCACACGAGAAACACAGAGAGAGGGGTTGAAATAGCTACTGTCAGTGTCTGCAAGAATAAAAATCATTAAAGAAACATTCTGTGAAGTGCATTCCATAAAAATGGAGACTTCAGACTTTAAATCACTGTACAAAACTCCTAATAGCAGAAAAAGAATAAAAAATAAAAGAGAGCTGCTATTAAAAGTCTCCAGGCATCCTCACAGTGAGTCTGTGTTCTCAGTTCCGTGCTGCACTGCTGGAAACTTTGGTTGGGAAAACACTTTTTTCACTCTCAAGAGCAAGACAAGGAAAGTTGCTGCAGCTGTTATTAAAAATAAACCCAGGGTATCTTTTCATAGAGAAATGGAGTAAGCTGGGAATGGTACTGCAGTAGTGACCAGACATTAAATGCCACAGCATGGACATCTGTGGTAAACATATGTCTCTGTCTGTCACTGGATTCATCCAAATACAGTTTTTGGAAGAAAACACTGAAAAAATGCAGTTGATAGAGTTAATCACTGAGTAGATACTGAGTATGTTCACAAGATCTTAAATTTGCTTAGTTTAAACTTCATTGCCTCATAAATGTAAGTGCAGATGCAACTTCACACATTGCCCCCACAGAGCAGTGAGGTCATAGAACGGATCACTGCACCCACACCTGCAGCTGGAATGAGCCTTGTCCCTTGGACATGGAAAGTGATATAAACTGGGAATCCTCAAAACAGCCTAGCTCCTGGTGAGACAGACCGTGCTAAAAACCTGGTGTGGTTAATTCACACTGACCCACGTCTCTGAGAAGAGATCCCTTCCTCTCCTTTACCATCTGATCCAATCTGGGAACAGCACGCAGGGCTGACTGTACCACCAGTGTCCCACTACCCATGGGAGGACAGGTGACAGCCTGGTCTGTGCAGGAGCCCTGCTGAGATGGAGCACAGTGACACTGAGCACAGCCCACAGCTATGGGGTCCCTGGGGCCTCCTGCTGCCCCACCCCACAGCTATGGGGTCCCTGGGGCCTCCTGCTGCCCCACCCCACAGCTATGGGGTCCCTGGGGCCTCCTGCTGCCCCACCACAGGCTCCTGTTCCTTGGCTGTCCTGCTCTCACAGGCTTCATTCCCTCTACACCACCACGATGCCAGCACAGAACTCGGCTCACAGCCCCTGGAGCCCAGGGCTGGCACAGTGGGCAGAGCCAGCCTCCCTCAGCCAGCACTGGCCTGGCAATGCTGTTCCAGGGGGTCCCCCCGGCCACGTTCTCTTTCCACTGACCAAAGGGCTGCACCAGATACAATGAACAGCTGCTGGAAACATCCTGACAAAGGTGCCCACACAGTGTGACTTGGAAAAGCTCCAAGTATTCTATTAATCTTGTAGGTGTTTAAGAGGGGGCAGTTTAACTCATTTACCCTGAAGAGGCCCCACGACCACGCTTACTCTGGGCAGCTGTAGAAGCCTCCAGAAGCCTTGGATGGAGAACACCCTGCAGAGCACTGCGGCACCGGCTGCCCCCTCCCTCCCAGTGTCATTCCAACTGTCAGCTCCTCAGACCCAGACTGCAAAAGCAGATCTTTTTTTCACTAAAAAAAAATTTCCTGCATTCTTAAGCATTTAAAATGGAAACAGAGCCAGTTCAGGGATGAGCACTGCAGCCACTCGCCTGTCCCCTCTCCCCTTGGTGATGTTGACCAGCTTCTCGATGCCGCCGGTGTCGGCGAGGGCCTTGGCGTTCTCCATGTTCTTGCTGGTGACCTCGTGCAGGGCGCAGCAGATGGCGGCCACCGTCTCGTCCGACAGCACGCTCGGCCCGTTCCCGCCCGGCAGCCGGTTCACCAGGTCCCGCATCGCGTATTTACCTGCAAACCCCCCAGAGAAACGGGTCAAGCCCGCGGGCTGGGACTGCAGGCTGGAAATGGCACAGAACGGCAGCTGAGGGCAGGGAGAAGCAGCGCAGGATCAAACCCTGCCAGGAATCCACATTTTACACAGTCAAGAGAGACCGAAGATCAATTTTTGAATTTTTTTTTCCTTTTAGCTTAGAAGTGTGAGAAGCTGAATTTTGCATTAAAATGGGAGTATTTGTAAAAAAGGATTATTTGGAGAAAGCAGAATTGTTCAAGGAAAAACGTTTGGCTACTTGACAGAGCGGTGCACATTCCTCAGCTTCATCTGTGGGAGGGTTAAAGGAATCTTTACATTAACTGGGAATTCTTTCTTTTGGATTTTCTTTTTGCCTTATTTGTTACCTGTCAGAGCTCAGCTCTGTCAGTCTCCAGCTGCTGACTGATGCCAGGGATAAGCTGCAGACAAGGGACAGAACTAAAGATAAGGTTTGGTTTTTCCCTGTTTAGCTGTTAATTGAATGATTGATTGATTTTATTGAAGATGTATATTTGTACAGAACAGTGAATGATGAAGAAGCTTTGCAGAAAGCCATTCACTATGTGTTTGTGTAATGTGCACGAGGGGAAAAAAATACCCAAAAAGGAAATCTGCAGGCAAAAGGAAACCCCCTGGAAAACCATCCCCACAATGCTGTCTGCAGCAGCACCCTACCAGTGCCATTCCTTTAGCAAGCTCACCCACATGCTGCATATTCCAACATATATTGTTATTTGCTGGAGTCCTCATGTCTCACTTCCTTCAGTGTGACCACGGGAGCCCATTGCTCCTGCCACACACAGGCAGAGAGGCTCCTAAAGAGGATTTCTAGCACAGGTGACGTGTTTTATACAGAGATCAGATTCAGAGTGTATCTGGAAGCCAGAAATTCTTTCAGTTACAGCTTTGACTGGGAGAGGGAATAGGTGGAGGAACATTCCTGAACTGAAAAGTTCTGCCAGGAATGGAAGAAACATCCTGACAAGAGAGTATCACCTGAGTTTGACCCACACAGGGCTGGTGCTACAGAACAGGAGTCTCTCTTTAGTAATTCCCTGTGTGTGCAATGCCTGCACTGCAGG